TTCAATTTACTCTTATAAAAATGATTATTATAAACATATATTAAATGGCATTGTTCTTATGAACAGTAATAGTTGTTCTGTCTTATGGCTGGATTTGTGTAGTCGGCGGCTGGTATGAAGTTGTGTCGACTTCGTCTAAAATCGAGTCTCACCGCCTTTAAAATTATATGTGAAATATTAAGTATACTGAGATAGTATACCAATAGGTTAATAATGACATGTCAATAACCTTAGACTCCATCATTAAAATAACCAAAAAAATTTGTCACAAAATAATCTTCCTTTTGTAACATCCAAAATTTTCATTTTTAAATTCATATAAAAACATTGTTCATAAAAAAAACATCTCAAAAAAATCACAATGTCAAATACAAATCATCATCAAAATATCAGAGTGTCCCAAAATATCAGGTATCATAAAATACAGGCGAATTTGTACAATCAAGCCTTCTGTAACACTCGAAAATTTTGTATGTTTCCTTTAGCCACTTATTGAAAAAATCATTACATTCTAGTCCCTAGCTAGTACGCTTAGCGTACTAGCTCGTTCCAGATCGCGGGTTTCATCCACGTACGTGGGGCGTATGCGGAGTACGCATGGCGCCCGTGGTGCAGGGGCAAACCCTAAAAATTAGTGTTTGCACCCTATTTAAGCAACTTATCTCACACCTAGACACTTTATTGACCAGCCTCCATCACCATATGCCCTAACATCGAAACCCTAAGTGTATTTGGTGAGATTTGAGCTTGAAAGTGAGTTTGTTGGTGTTTTATGGTGAAGAAGAAGAAGAAGAGGAACACTTGGAAGTTGCTTGGGAGTAGCTTGAGCTTGTAGATCCAGAGTTATCTTCACTTTAGCAAGCCATTTGAGGTAAAAAGCTTTCATCTTGATAATTCTATGCGCTAGATCCAACTTAGGGTGTTGTTTATGCATTTTTTGGGTCTTTTCAGTTAAAGTTGAGCTTTTGATCTATTCCAGAAGATATGGATGTTAGATCTTAGCTCCATTGAGGTCCCTTGTCCATAAAAATGCAATCTTTATGTAAGATATTGGTCCATGCAAGTGTTAAGGTTCTTATTAAGCTTCTTTTTTAGTATTGGGCCCCCATTAAGCCATGCATGCGTGTAAAGTTGCCAACTTTACGTATTAAGTCACCACTTAGGACCAGATCTAGGAGTTTAGCATGTTGGGTTAACTAGTTAAGTGCTTAATGGGTTGGGTTGGTAATCAGGGGAGTACGTTGGGTGTACTGAACCCGGAAGGAGTACGCTAAGCGTATGAGTTGAGTACGCCCCGCGTACTCAGCAGATTGACTTTTGGGATTGACTTTCTCGGTTTGAACCATATCTTGGGCTTTTAGGGTTTAGGCCTTGTTGGGCCCTTGGACTTCTGACTTTGGGCCAGGGTTAGGCTATGGGTTTTCTTGGTATTAGGCCCATTATGATTTTGGGCCCAATTTGGAAGTTGGGCTTTATTGGGCCTTAGGATGTCATTTAGGAATTTAGGCCTTTTGAGCAATGGGTTGGGCCTTGGTTTTGGGGCAAGTAAGAAAAAGGATAAAATGGTCTTTTACCCTGGATATTGGACAAGTGACTTAGATTCTTGATTATGGGTCGAGATCCAACTGTTAATTGGATATTTATTTGATGATGTTAGCACGGGGATTTTCCCGACCAGCAAATTGAGATATTATCCGAGTGATTCTGCAGCTTGAGGTGAGTTTCCTCATTGTGTTTAGTGGTTCGAAGGCACCAATGTCGGCCCATGGTTTGTTATGCTTAGGATGCTAGTTGTCTGCGTGACTCTTGCATGTGATATGTGTTTATATGTTTATCGGGCAGGGTCCAATGACTATCCTGTATGCTATTTATCTTTGTGATTATTGCATATGTTTGTATGATTATATATTTACATGTTTATATATATATTAGGCGGGGCCTGATGACTGACAAATTTGTTTACCAAGCGGGGCTCGATGTTGGGAGGGGCCCAATGACGTACGGGGCCCATTATATGTTTGATATGTATGGTATGTGGTATTTTGGAGAACTCACTAAGCTTTGTGCTTACGGTTTTCAGTTTATGTTTCAAGTACTTCTAATTCGAAGTGGAAGAGCCCGGGATGATTGCAGTGCACACACCACATCGTTCCGCATTTTTATATTACTCTGATGTACTTGGATGATATTGATACACTTTGATTCACCATGATTTCTATGATGTTGTTTGGATGATGGTTTTCTTAAATTAAAAATCAGAATTTTTAGTCTTGATTTTTGAGACGTTACACATTCGCTTTCCCGCAATCTTCAGAAGTACCCAAAACACATTTAATCAACAACTTTAAGCACGAAGTTTAGTGAGTTCCCCAAAATATCACATACAGCACAACACAAAGTAAACAGTTATGGGTTATCAGCAACCCTAGAGACTACTCGAAGTCTCAGTGGGCAAACATCACGCCCTGTGGGTTATCAGCAACCCTAGAGACTACCCAAAGTCTTAGCACACACATTAATATATATCAGAGTAATAGCACTAGAGATGCAAATTTGACCCGCGGATTCGAGTACCCGCGGGAATCAGTCCTAACGGGGCGGGTATTACCCATCTTAACGGGTGATGGGGCGGGGATGCCCGAAACGGGTACGAGGTGGGGATGGGTATACCACTATCCGCTCCGTTTAAGACCCGATAATATATATATATATATATATATATATATATATATATATATATATATTATATATATATATATATATATATATATTTGTTGGAAATCGAAGTGACGCTTTGAACTTTTCTAATCTTTTCCTATTCCTTTCTTCAGCATCTTTTTTACTTTTAATTGATTAAATTATGAAACGATTAATTTCAAATTATATTTAATCACATCTAAACTAATGGCACATGCTTTTAGACATCATATACGTTTGTTTCCAAAGTCTTTTCATTATAAAATATCGATCAATGTATTGTCCAACTAAATGATTGTCGATGACAGGATTGTAGTTAAATGTTAATGAAAATTTTATTATAGACATTGCGTCGAAAGAAACATATAAGTTTTATTTGATGATTCATATTTTTTGTTTATATCTTTAAGTCATTTAAAATTAACGGGTATCCATCGGGTTCCCTGTATCCGACAGAGATTTATTCACCCGAACCCATCGGGGATTAGGCGGGCCGAAGGCGGAGATGGGTCTGAGGTTCAGAGTTCGGGTACGGGGACGGGTATTACAGTATCTGCCAATATCCGTCCTCGTTTACATCCTTAAATAGCACATAGATCCAACTGGTCAACACATATATTCTACCACACATTTAAGAATAGTGAGGAGGCTCACCTCACACAGATGAGTGATAGAACTCACGCCCAAACTGCCAGAACTAGACTCCGCTTAATAATTACACTAATTAACCCTAATTAATAATTAATGTAATTTTCCATACTCCACTAACCCCAAGACAAGTCTAATCTACAATTAGGGCAAAATGTCATTTTACCCCTTCAAAATCCCTCACAAATCCTCTTAAGGTATACTTGGTCAAAAGTCTACAAAAGTCAACGGCGGCCATACGCACGGCGTACACAACTCTACGTTGGGCGTAGAGTGTACGGCAAGAGGAGTCGGGTTCACAACTAGCTATGACGGGCGTAGCCAGGAGTACGCTCAACGTATGCGGCCTTGACTCAAATCCAATTTTCAATGTCTTAATCATTAAGACAATTACTCCAACCTCAGATCTGACCCCTAAATGATGTCCTAATCCATGAAGTCTCTAACTTTATGTCTTTGCATGGCTAAAGAGTGCTTAATCCCAAAACCCTAACATTTCACTTCACCAAAATCTCCATAACTCATGCATGGAAGAAAGGAAAGGACCAAGCTAACATTTTTATGACTCTAAACACCCTAAAATATCTGAAAGGACAACTGTTATGCTCTAGATTATTTCATACTCACAAAGATCAAGGTTTTGGGACAAAATGAACTTAAATCCAAGTCTAAACAAGATCTACCAAAACAAGCTCCAAGGTTTGAACTTTATCCCTTCAAAAGGTGAACAAGGACATGTAAATTCTGGATCCAAGAATACCAAAGCTCACTCTCAAGCTTCAAATACCACTCACAAAAGCTAGGGTTTCGATTTTAGGGTTCGGAGGAAATGGAGGTTGGTCATAAGGAGGTCCAAGGGGATTAAGATGCTTAAATAGGAGACACAACCTTAAAATTTTAGGGTTTTGGAAGTTGCATGAGTACGTCCGGCGTACCCATATGTATGCCCAACATACTCCACCACCTCGATCCTTATCCTGGCTTACACCCACATACAAGGCTGGTACGCCCAACGTAAGGGCTTGAATGTTAAAATTTTAAAATGCCAATGGTTAAAATAGAAATACCTGAAAACGGGCTTTACACCTTTTAAGTGTTTATCATTCATTCAACAAAGATGATTATGTAAAATATTGTTTTGTGATATTATTTTTTTAAGAAATGGTGATGTTATAAAAAACAATAACATATCACCAAAGAACTTTAAGAAATTTATATATAGTGATTACTATTTATAAAATAATTTCGCACAAAAAAAAAATCATTTTGTGAAGTTATTATCGAAATATATAACTATTTTTAGACAATCTAAACTGAAGTTGGTAGGTTGGCTTAAAATATTGTCCTGCTATTTCATGTTTTCTATTTAATTTTATTAGATGGTTAACAGAAAAATACAAAAAGAAAAGACAAGAAATTAATTGGTCAGATAGTAATGATGCCATGGAAACATAGTTGGGATTAGCTTCAATTTACAATACACAGAACAAACAAAACAAAAGATTTTCATCATCCACATCTCCTATGTTGCTTTTCACATGGCTACAACACCTTTACTTCTAATCGATTGATTTACATGAGTTAGTTTTACACAAACGAAATTACAAGTTTCATGTTATCTTCTCAAAAAAAATTCCCGCCAATCTGTCATTCATTCAAATGCTGCTTCTGTTTTCCACATCAATGGAAATTCGTAGCTCGTTGTTTGATGGAGCACTTCCAGATCTCGAAAGCACACAACAATCTGAAACAATTCGACCACGGATTAGCGCAATGAACAACATGAAAATTTCATACGAATTGATTTGGTTTAGTTGAAAATTTGATGATTTGTAATCAATGTTTACCTTTTGAAGGTGAGTTGTATGATCTCTTGCAATGGAGAATCGCGTTTCGGATACTGTCCTGTTGTTCCAACGCTGAATCATCGCTCTTCGTCGCCGGCGTTTGTAGGATTGCTGACGCCGAACGGCTCTTTCCTAAATGCTTACGAACTTCTCTGAACACGGCACCACGACCACCACCGCCTCTTTTCTCCTCCTTTCTCGGGGAGAAAACCGATGATGCCGGAGACGACGACGGCGTGATGGATTTCTCCTGTAACCTCGATTTCTCGTTATTCCTCTTTGAAACTTTTACGTATGAAGGCTTAATCAGATTCAGATACTTGTTCACAACGTCCTTGGAGAAACGCTTAGAAGGAACCTGATCATTATCCAGAAGCTTCTCCGTTTGCAATTTATGTCTCAGACTGTTATCTCTCTTAAGCAATGATCCGATCTTAACTTCTTCAATTTCGAAAGTTTCTTTGTCTAATCTCGATTTGGTATTCTGAAACCCTGGAATCAACGATCGAAGAGGAGATTTCGGTGAACCGAGAGGCAAAATCTTCCGATTATTCCTCGAATAAACCTCATCAGGATACGAAAATCTGAAACTCGATTTGGAATCACCACCAAAGAGGTTGACATCAGGAGACGCGTCACATTCATTGTCGTTTTCATCACCTGGATTAGTGAACACCAAATCGAAGAACGACTCTTCATCGTCGAGAGAGGAAGCAAAATCTGGATCTCCACCTCCGGCGTACCTCCAGAACTTGAGCATGCTGAAAACGTCCATCGTTGGGAAAGCCAGAGTATTGATGTTGTGAGAACTTCGTGGGGGAAAAGAGGGTTTTAATGAGGATTCTGCAAAAGCTTGGGTGCTTTTTCAGTGAAAGGGGATTAGAGAGTGAGTGTGTTGTTTGATTCGTTGGTGGTATATAAATGGAGTCAAGGGGGGCATGTGATTCTACCCGCGGCTACATGCTATGTATAAACATTAATGCTTTCTCCCAAAATTTTCAAATATCAAGGATCTAACTTAAAATATGAAATAAATGTGACACAACTCAAGTCAATTTCGTACTCGGGTAAATTACACGGATGGTCCCTATGGTTTAGGGTAATCTGTGTGGTTGGTCCCTAACAACTTTTTTTAACTCGGACTGTCCATACTTTATATTTTTGTTGCACGCTTAGTCCCTATCCATTCTAAAAAGACTAATTTACCCTTATCCATTTTTTTATTAATTAAATTTTTATTTATTTATTTATTTAATATCTTATTTAAATAAAAAATACATGTAGGCCCCTCCCTCCTTCCTCTTCAGCCTTCTTCTTCCCTCGACCATTCTCCCATCTCCGATTCCTTCGTCCCAATTCCGGCGACTTCATTAAATCTCTGGCATACACCAACCAATCAAACCCTCTCTTCACCAATCAAACCTTCTCTTCACCGGAGAAACAATGTTTACCTCAAAAAACAAATGGCAACGAAAATCAACAAGAATTTGGCCATCGGAGAAACGTACAATGTATGATACATCTCGTCATCGCCGTTGCTCTAGGTATTTCCGACGAACGGAAATCATAAACCAAAAACCCTATCCTCTCCCTCTCTCAACTCCGGTGAACTAACCCTAACCCTTGAAGTCGGAACACCGTCGATGTCGCTAGCATCTCCGCCATCTTCACCAGCATCTTCAATTTGCTCTGCCAGAAAAAAAAACCACACTATCTGCAACATCTTATATAGACTCTATCACATTTTTTCTTGTTTAATCCAGTTCGATTTTGATTTCTGGGTTATGGTTTGATTTTTTTTCTCAAGTTTGATTTTGCCTTCATTTGATGTTCGTCTGATTCTGCATCAGTTTGATTTGGTGTTTCTTCTGATTTTGGTTTGGGGATTCATTTATGGAGGGGAAGCCACCACCACCATCGATGGATTCCTCTGATTTCAATTTTTTCAAGATCGATTGTTTTAGGGAAGTTCATAGCAACAAAAAAACGCATATATTTTCAGGTAAACATTGTTTCTTCGGTGAAGAGAGGGTATGATTGATTGGTGTTTGTCGGAGATTTAATGAAGTCGCCAGAGTTGGGATGAAGGAATCGGAGATGGGAGAATGGTCGAGGGAAGAAGAAGGCTGAAGGGGAAGGAGGGAGGGGCCCACATGTATTTTTTTATTTAAATAAGATAATAAATAATTAATTAATTAAAAATTTAATTAATAAAGAAATGGATAAGGGTAAATTAGTCTTTTTAGAACGGACAGGGACTAAGCGTGCAACAAAAATATAAAGTAGGGACGGTCCGAGTTAAAAAAAGTTGTTAGGGACCAACCACGCAGATTACCCTAAACCACAGGGACCAGCCTAAAAAGTTGTTTTGAACATGATTTAGGTAAAGAAAAACCAAAAACAGCTAGTAAGAACTAATAAATTTAGACAATAAGGAGCATCTAGAATAGAGAGTTTACTGAGAGAGTTGAATGATAACAAACCTAGTTATTATCATTCAATGGATAAATTCTACTATTATGAGATGTCATTTGGAATTGAATCATTCAATAAAAAAAATAAAGGTTTCAAACTTCTTAAATAAATGTTTAAATATATTTAGGTGAACTTTATTGAATTTAATGCATTGTAAAATAAAAAATTGATAGAGTTTTATGAAATGCAAAATGATGATGTATCAATTCATTAATCTCTATAAAATCCAATGTATTATAGATGCTCTAAGGTAAAATGGCTACAACAAATAAGATAAAGTCGTGTTGGCTACAACACCAAAAATACCAACTAAGATTCACAAAATTAGATCTATATTGATCAAGTAAAAATAACTTGTATTTCACTATGTTAAATTAATATTCCAACATTCATTTCATTCATTTTTCTTTTAACCCTTCATATAATCCAAGTTAGATAGACCCATAAGTCCATAACACATTTAGACATGCACTTTGTCTATAAATGCATATTTTACAAGTTATAATAGAAATGTATTTATAGCATATACGATATTAAAAAAGAACAATCATTAAATCATTACAATACCATATTGTAATTTTTTTACTGGATTTAAATGAACAATTACTTATTTCATTTGATTTAGATTCTTGATTACTCATATAAGGTTGTAATAAAATAAAATTCTGATAAACTGAAAAAATTGTTCAGCAAAACCTTAAAATTTTGAAATTTGTTGGAAATTTGGTTATATGCCAAGTTAGGCTTCTTTTTTTGTTGTCATATTTGTTGATTTGGCTATGTAGGGTTCATTTGAAGTTCCATTTCTCAACAAGAATGTTAATGTTCACATCCAAGTGGAAACAATCACAACTCGTAAGCATTCTAAATGATTTTTTCACTTACATTAATCAAAACTGTTATTTTAAGTGATGCGTTCTCATGGATGTCACACCGATTGTCACTATATAGACCTTCTAGCCGTCCATTGAAGAATCCTAGCGGCTTTATGAAGAATTTTGTTGCGTTTTCAATGAGGTATCACTCTGTCAACATTCTTCTCTATAGTTCTTTCACTTATTTTCGATATAGATGCGTGTCACAACAATACAGCAGAAATAGGTGTTAGTCACCATTAAAGATGAAAATGTAATAATATAATTGAAGAATAATATATAAAGTGTAAATTTTAGATTTATGATATTTATTTTAATGAAAAATATGTTGTTTGATTGTTAGGTTACATATCTGGTTTTTTTTATATATAATTTGATTTTGACAAGTTTGATCTAAATTTGATAATTAAAGCAGGTAGGAAAGATATGTGCTAACGATTTTGAATTTGTATTGCCCTATAGAAACCAATCGTAGCCTTACAGACCATTCCCTCATATCTCAGTAGGTCTTAATATCTCCCAAAATTCAGCTACAGGAAGTCATGGATGCACTTTTTGAATCAATCATCTAAACCGAATTTCATTTGTTAGTTGGATGTAGGGACCAAAATACAAGATTTGTGAAAGTTCATTATTATTTATTAGTGTTAACCTTTAGCAAATTATGAAACTAATCTTATATTTTTGTTCATAACATGTTTTTTTTTTGTAATAATTTATTTGATCGGAAGATATGTATATGTGATTGGGTGTAGCCTGAAAAATCATATTTTAATTTTTATAAGGAAAAAATACTTTGAAATCGACCAAATTACAATGTCTGAATTTGATGTTTATAGTTATGACAATTCACTTTATTTGTAATGTTTATCGAATTTCTTTGCAGAATTTAATGTTGCTGGTACATATAACAACTTATTGTTGCTTTCGGTTTTACAAGACCAATATGAAAAGAGCCATATGAGCTTCCATGGGGGTTGGTACATCGAACAAAGTCAATTTATAAAGCTACTACACAACATGTTTTAATCAAGAAGTCGCATTATGTTGTGATAAAACAAAGATCACATAGATCATTTATGTTAAAAATTACTGTATTAAAAAACCAAATTGTTCTAATATAAATATTAAATATTTTTATCTAATAATAAGTTTGGTTCAAAAACTCTAAAAATGAATGTTACTAATATTTTTTTATTAAAATTCAACCTAAGACAAAGTCACCTATTAATGTGATGTATTTAATTTATGTTCCCCACGTTTAACGTGGGTCATAATCTAGTACGATATTAAAAAAGAACAATCATTAAATCATTACAATACCATATCTCTTTTACAACGAAATCAAAACATGAAATACAATTTTTTTCCCCTGTTTATGTTGGTTTAGAGATAAGATTGTACTTAAATGTAAACACTTGGTCAATTGAGCACTTTTGAGGTCAAAAGTATTTAAATACAGGGGGTTAAAAGAACAAACGGTTTTTTTTCTTTTCTTTAAAAAAAAAATCAAACTGAGAGAGTTTAGAAGGGCAGTAAGATACTTCCAAAAAGGGGAGAATAAATGAAAAAAGATGTAAGAGCCAAAATAAAAGAAAAAAAGTGAAGAGAGGGCCAGAAATAAAGTGCATGACAAAATGCAGGGGGTTTAGGGTCACTTTTACTTTTTTACTATTCACTGCGATTATTCATTCACAACAACTAGACATGGCCTTGGGCTCCTTACAAAACTGAAAACTCACCTTAAATAGTTAAATCAGTGTCTTTTCGATTATTGATGGGATTGGTTTTTGTAAAGTCGTTTTTAAGAAAAATATACTATTTTGATCCATTTTCGGATATAATATTTTTTTTACAGTTTAAATAAAAATTCTTGTCCAACTTTTTTTTACCTGGTATATATGTTTGTAGCTTCATAAAAGAAAATATAGGTCTAAGTTCAAACTTTGAAATACCCAAAGTATTCTTAGCGTTCCCGGTTTTTACGTAGGCTTTGAGACGGATTGAGGTGAACCATTCAGAACCTCAAATGATACAACTTTTTTTGTATCTTACAGAAAAATTAGAAAAAAATGATAAAAATAACATATCTCCTAATCTAATAAATAAGTACTAAAGTGTCACGTGTCAGTCACTGAGCACCCTCCCATCTAATTTTCTCGCTCAAAAACCCAATGTGAATTTTCAACTTTGCCCTTGAGATAGAAAATATCCTTCTGGCATCTTAGCTTTCTTTTTTCCTGCTCATTTCACTTTGATGTCGTCTTCTCTTTCTTCCCCTAATCAGATAAGATAGCATGAATTAAAAAGTTGATTGTTAATTTCAATTTTGAGATCCTGTAACAATCATTTTCCATTAATAACGTTGCATCCCCTTATCAAACCCTAGAAATTAGCAAAACAAAAACGCTTCTTCTCTCTCACG